AGCCCAGTGATGTCAAGGAAGGTGTAACTGAGTCCATTAGAGCTAGTAAACACCACACTGGGGATTCCAAACACAGAGAGCATCATTAGCACATTAGTACAGACTAGGTAAGAACCCATGCTGGCTGGGGAATTCTGGGAGTTGAAGTCCACCCATCTTAAAGTGCTGAGGTTGAGGAACCCTGCCCTAGAGCGCTGGTTCTTTGCAAAGTCACTTGAATAATTTGGCTCAAGCCTGAAGCAGAAGGAAACCTTATTCATTTTAGAGAAACTGGTCAGGCTGACTGGCTAATAGATGGTCTTGAGGCAATGCTTTTGAATTTCATGTGAGCCTCTGTTCTGCCTGTCATCTCATACCTGGATATCAAAATGTCTTGATACAGCGGAATGTTCTCAAAACAGGGGAGCACCATTTCTCACATCATGCTATACTGATTGGCTCCCAAGAAACTTTTCACAGGAAGCAGCAGTAGATCTGTCAGACATGGATGCTGGGAAGATGTTTGTGTTGTATCCCCAAAACCTGCATGGGAAATATCTGAAGGAGCCTCTGTAATAAACATCTGAAATCTGACATTTTTTCTTCCTCCTTCAACAAGATTAGTTTTGTAAAACACATCTAAACATGCCAGCCCTGAACTTTTAAAAATGTATAAAGGGATATGTGTAATGCCTTCAATTCTTGTGAGAGCCTTTAACTGCTCATTTAACTATCCCGGTAGTTTTTTATTAAAACACATAAACAATAAAAATTCAGTGGATGACTTTAAACGAACCCAGTGGCCCTTGGCTTGATAGATCCTTTGGAAAAAATGCTAATGTTTCAACACTGGATGGAATGACAGTGTTTTATCCTCCAAATGTGAATGACAGTGATTAAGAAAACACTTGGAAGGTTTAGGCCCACTGTCATTTAACAAATGCCAAGGGGAAATTTCTCTGCCCTACAAAATTCTCCAGAGAAGTCTTGAAATTTTAATATGCATGCCAAGTTGTCATTTCAGGAGCTCACTGGAAAAGAAAGCCTAATAACAGTGACATTTATATGTAATCTAACAGTGAGGGAGGGAAAGAAAAAGGTGGTGAAATCAAGGAAGTCCAATGATCTATAAAAACGAAAGAACCCTGAATGGGTTCTAAAATTAATTCAAAGGTATTCCCAATCATTGCAGACATTTGTGGCCATTTATTTAGCTAATTAGCTTGCCTTAACTTTCTCAGTGATAAATGTGTAGCGTGGAAAGTAGAGTTGAGAACAGGGTAATCCAAGTTTAAAATCCCCTTTGAACTCTGAAGCCCATCAAGTAATTTTTCATAGCGTTCTCATGGAGATAAAATTTGGCTGGATGAATGAGAAAACCATATCCACCCCTCTGAGCTCCTTGGAAAAATGGATCTTTGTGTGTGCCCCTTTTTAATGACTGGTTTATTTAAGAATGTGCATTCTCAGTTTCACTTCCTCCTGCTTTCCCTGCCTGCTTCCTCCTGATTATCCCTTGCTTGATGCAAGGAACTAGGGGTCTTTCAATACTTTCACAGCCCTGCCTGTGGGAAAAGAATGTATTATTTGTGTTTAAAGACGGATGTTTTGAAATGTTCAATCTCTGCAACTGCTTCCCTCTCTAAATTCTGAGGATTGCTTAGCAACCAATTGCTTGCCTTCTATAGCTCAACCACCAGGTAGGCATGACATGCTTCACATTTGTCATAAAATAGGGAAGAGCCATCATGGAAATTAGCTAGCAATTGGTCTCTTAGAAATCTGAAATCATAAAATTCTGAAAGAGCAGGGCATGGAACCGAAAAGGGGGAGAGGAGGCTCTGACTGCATGGTTCATTTTGGAGCATTGTTAGGAGTTTCAATCAAAGCTTCCCAGCAACCTGAGGCACATGAAGTAACAAAATGCAGAATGCCTGCCATCAAGTGCCTTTTCTTACATTTAAATTCTAGGTTGCATATGGCAGCTCAGTATGCAGGCTTTTCAGGAACAGGTACCATTTAAAGTGCTCCAGACAGGGAACTTTTCAAAACTTGATTAGGTCCCCATTCCATAGAGGTTTATTATTATTATTATAATGATGATGGTGGTGGTGATGAAGAGATCGGTCAGGAATGCTCGGAAGAGAAAAGCTGGCGATGCAGACAGAAGTCCGGGCTCTGGTGAAGGTTTGAATCGTGTCCCTTGCAAAAGACTTTTGAAAATCTGGCCTCCTTCACAATCCTTTTGGAGAGCCACCCTCGTCCTTTCCTGAAGAACCACCACTGTCACAGCAGCAGCGTTCAGAGAGCTGACAGAAAATAACAGACCCAGAGAACCCAAATGGTCCATTAATCAGATATTACTCATGTTCCTCTGTTTTTCTCCTCTCTGTCTTTTCTGAAGGAGCAGAAGAAGGGAAAGGAAAGCAGACGATTGACCCAGTGCAACCTGAAGGTCGATGCGATACAGAAAACATTTCAAGTATTGATGGTAAGCTTCCCAAGACCTTTTGGTGGGGGCAGGAAAAAGGGGGCCTGCAACATATGCCTCCATTTCTTAGAATATGGAATTACCTCATTCAAAGGCAGTTTGCAACAAGTCTGGATTATGTAAGCCACCGGCCTTCCCAGCTGTGAAGCCCAAGGAACGCTCCACTGCTCTCACTTATGCAGCTGAACTTTCAGTGGGACTCTGGCCTGAGCAACCAAGCAGGGGACTGACACTAATTTGCCTAAGCCAAAAATCCCACTGCCCCAAGGAGCTCAACTGTAAAGCAAATGCACACAAAAGCATTTCATTTCATGCTTTTGTTCTCTCTTGCCTCCCTGTCCCACAGTCTCCTGAGCTGCTTTGAGAACAAGCCCATCACTACTCAGTTATAGGATTAAAAATTAGCACCATTTGAATGAGGAGAAGGTCAGCCTTCCCATTCGTTACCTTTATATGTCAGCATGAAATCTGCAGACAAAACCCCATGAGTTTTCATTAACTCATTCCAACATGTGGACTTGGTTGGTTGGTTGGTTGGTTTATGTATTAATGCAATGATTCTTAACCAAAGAGTGTAGGATCATCAATACCCGTTCCTTATAGATTATGTACTTCACTGATAATAGCCAGATAGGTTTATCTCACTGTCCACCATAGGCATCTGTCCCTAAGCATGATGGGACCAAAATAAGGAAACTTCCATCATGATGTCATGACCCAAACGCTGTGTGTTTGAACTTGCATTGCAACCTGAGTACATAAAGGGCAGAGCCTGCATCAAATGATAGCCGGTTTCCTATGTTCCCAGCAAAATCTCACTTTCCTTTCCATCCACACCCTCTCAGTTGGTTTAAATAGTTCCTGCAGATTCTTTTTCAAAAATCCAGTTCTTTTGCATACATTGACAACCAGACTAGAAATGGCCATTGCCTATCCCAACAGAACAGAAGAGTTTTGTGCATAGCAGGAGGAGCACAGACTGGTTGTCAATCACCCTGGACATTTTATTCAGGATGGGAAATTAACATGTGGTTGTGCTTACTACACTGAACCTCAAACATACCACCAAACAGAGGGGCTTAGCATGTTGCATGAATGTAGCCAAGATGCAAAATCAGCATGTTCAGCTCTGAGTGGCTAGAAGGGTTGAAAAGTAGGCAGGTAGGGAGGGCACCATCTGCAAAGCCCCAACTCTTAGGGAAGTCAGCACCACATGGTGCCCAGTCTTAGGTGAGTGGGGCCTCACCAGAACTGGGAAGAGATTGCAATGCTAAACCTACCATTTTGGATAGCCACCAGTAAACACTTCTACCACCATTAATATCGTTATTTATGGGGGATTACAGAAATTAATTCATGGGGCGGGGGGCTGGGTGGTCATAGCATAGCACAATTTGAGAACCTACTTGAT